AAAAATCCCTTCTGATCTCTTTCCCCAGGGACAAATAAATGCAATTCAAGTTTTTTCGACATGCACGCAACATGACCGTGTTCTCGAATACAACGCATGCGTAGAGGCACATTCCATGGAATTCCCAAGTAGAATTCAATGTCAGACAAACACACAAAAAAAAGGGAAAAAGAATAAAAAGAAAAAGAAAGTCAAGCAGAACTGTGTCCCACTCTTCCCCCCTAAAAAAACAAAAAAAGCGAACCGGAAGTAGTGAAGGTGCGTTGTGTTCGGGGGAAGACGGTACAACAGCCAGCCAGCTACTATACGTAACACGGGAAAACGCCAGCGTGACAGAGACAATGCGACGTGTCACGGATTTGTTCGTCTGGACGAAGAACATGGCCATATATTTATTTATTTATTTATTATTTAAAGCACAGAATCACTACACCTGGCAAATAACCACATGTCGCATAAAGTAACCTGGATTGATATTATTTTCATTTTTTTTTTATGGCATTTAATGCACAGAATCACTACACGTGGCATATAACCGTATGCCGCATAAACTAACCTGTAGAAACCGTAAGCGCATTGGCAAGAGACAAATATTAAATCAAAAAAAAAAAAAGGAATGATCAGAAATCAGCCAAATAGAGATACAGCCAAGGCAAGGAATGATGATGATGATGATGATGATGATGACGATGATGATGACGATGATGATGATGGCATGACAAGCAAGCCAAGAGGGGAGCATTCGGGCTGGATAGAAAGGCCATGCCAGTCAAAAACAAAAAAAAAGGCATGCCAGAAAAGAAAAAAAAAATGCCAGCGAAAAAAAAAAAGAAGCCAACCACTCCCTCTACAAGCCCCGTGTCGAACAAGCGTCGCACACGCAGGTGCCACACAGAATGAGGAGGCAAACCACTCACGTAAAAAACCCTCTTTGTCTGTCAGAAGAGAAGATGCGCAAAGCTTGTACAATGCGAAGGAGGGGGGGGACTGGGAGGGGAAGGGGGGCGAAGAAAGGCACACCTCCCATTTTGTCTAAACCATCTCTTTTTTTTCCTTTTATCTCACGAAAGCATCTCGTTTT